CCGATGATCAAGGTTTTGCTGCGATCTGCTTCTTTTTTTAGAGTTTTCTAGATCGGTGATCTCGGGCAAATGCTAGTGCGAGCCATCGAAAATGCCGCCATCGAGTACCGGGCTGCGATCGAACGGCGGCTGCTGGCTTCGGCAAGGTTGCATGCGGTACCGAAAAGTTGTAATTTCCCAAATACTGGTCTATAGTTTAACATCAACGGCAAAGCGTCTGGTGACAACCCGGCGCCACCACGCAAGACCTCGGTGTTCGAGTTGCGAAGAGGTTTTATTGCTGTTTATTTTACGAGCTCTTTTTAGAACTTCCCCCACTGACCTCGCCGCCTCGCCACCACTCATTGAATCTGGCTTCCGACGAGGCTTCGGAGATGACGAGCGGGCTGGGCAACAGCAGCACCCTCGACGTGATCAGCCCGGCATCCAGTCGAAAGAGCTCGTTGCGAGACTCGGCGGTATTTTTAAAATTTTTCACACCTTGTTTAACCTTCCAGGTTCGCAAATCATCATCAGCCGCCCGCCCGGCTCGCACTCCCTTGAGCCCCAATAACAAGATTGACTTGATGGCTGCCCCAACAGGTTTGCATATTTCTTTAGACAAGGTCTTCCGTTTTATTTTAGTCGCGATCGAGTTTCTGCTCTGGCGCAAAGAGATGAGTGATGATCCGAGCAACTTGTCGATGAAGGACTTCAACCCGAATTCCATCATTGCCAAGGATCACACATTTATACCAAAGAGGACGGTGGTAAGTGATTTCTTCATTTCTTTTTTTGGACCCTGCGATATTTTTTTCGGAATTGGCTTCCGAAATTTCGACGATTTTTTCGAAGTCCTGTTTCGAAAGACCTGAACTTTTTTGGTTGCCCCCTATGGCTCTTTCCTATTACTAGCTCGCCGCAATTTTTCGAATCTGAATGAAAATCCGAATTTCTAATAAAATCGCAGAATTCGAAAGAATGTTTTACAGATCATTTTCGAAGATTTGTATGAAACACTTTCTTCAACGTGAAATTTAGGCAGGCCGCATCGGCGGCTCCGAATTCAAGGCCCCTCGCCCTCACCCGAAAGCCAACGAAATATTCCCGATCTACGAGCCCCTCGTCGTCAACAAGCTGATCAGCTGGCTGGGCAAATGCTTTGCTGAACCCTGCATCAGCCTAGTTCTCGTAGGGTTTTCGGCCAAAGGCTCTAATTAATTTAGTGTGAACGTGAATGCGATGTGCTTGGCGATCGGCTGAACACGGCCCACCATCCCAGCCGATTCCAACAAGACGAGGATGCCCGTCTCAAAAAGCTGGCTGCCGAGGAGATGGTCACAGTTGTGAAGGGGTTCACGACGTTGCCGAGGAGTGGAATGAGAAGGGCGACCAAGCAGGTTGAATATCGAATCTTTCTTAAGGATTTAAACTTGGAAACAGATATTGTTTTTCCTATCCTATCAACGGATTATTAGATAATCGAGCCAAACGTGCAGCTGATGACCGTCAAAACGGAATCCCCCGTCCTTGCCTCATCTTTCTCTCGGCTCCATCCCCAATTCTATACGACCGACGGCGCCTACGTCTATGCCTACAAATACGAAGATCGACAATGCCACGAAGCATTCCGCTGGCATAACCATGCCGGAAATGGACTGATGGAGGCAGGTTTTACAAGACTCTATTTCTGTATCTTATTTTCTTCTAAGATTTTAATGTTCTCTTTTTGACGTTCCCTTTTTTTCGCCTATAGCTTTAATTTGGATTTTAGGATGAAGCCTGCTTCCTCGAGACGATCAACCCGATGGGCAATGAAATGGTTCTTGTCGGCTCGAAAAATTCGATCGTCCGCATCTTTGACCTCAGCTACGATGGGGAGACGGGACGAAGGTTGCCGTTAGCCCCGAAAATGGTAGTTTAATTTCTAGATACATAGCCCTAGAATACACTCAGTAAAATAATAAAGGCGTGGTTCATATTCGGGGTGGATATCGAGTAATAGTAGCTTCTAAGATGTATCTTAAGAATCAAATGTTCGTGGAGTGTTTTTGGCAATGAGTTTGAAACTGTATAAAAACTATAAAGGCAGTGAAAGATTATTCAAATTATTAGTTTCTTTAATTTACAATAAATTGGTCCTAGACCGTTTTCTATAAATTGTTTTCTACATTAGGTAGCCATTTTTTGTGTTCGCCCGCCATGGCAAGGCCAGCTGCTCATCTTGTCGTTCTTTAAAAATTCTTGTCGGGATTTGGCGTTTGCTTGGTTTGGGGTTGTTTGTGGATGGAGGCAGAGGTTGGTGGAATAGTATGTATTTGTCGGCGTCGAGGCTTAATTTCGCGGCTAAGAGTGGCTTATTTTTGTTTTTAGATTATATGTCTCTTGCCTGTCTGCTATTATTTCTCTTTAAACATGCGGGTGAGATTGCGTCGGCGCCTGAAACTCAATTTCGGGGGTGGCTAGGAGTCGTTAACCTTAGTTTTGTCGCTGCTTCCCGGCCTAATAAAGCCATGTCAAGATTGAAACGTAACCGTTGATCGTAATAGGACGTGGTTCGGCGTGGGGGGGTGGCCCTTAATCCCCGATGCGCCGCTCTCTTGGGTCTTTATTTTTGTCTAGAGGTGTCAGCTGGTTTTGGTGTTTTGGGTTTGGGAGGGTGTGTTTATATTAAAGTGTGTGTTGGTGTTTGTGTTTATATGTCTGTGGTGGTGGTGTTTTGGGTGTTAGGTGGTGTGGGATTATTGGGTGGTGGGGTGTGTTGTGTTTTTTAGTTGTTTTTTTTGTTTTTGTTTTTTTCAGTGGTTGGGGGGTTGTTCAGGGATGTGGTTCTGTTGGGCTGGGGGGTTTGTGGTGGCGGGGGTGGAGTTGGTTTTTTTTGTTCCTTTCGTGCACTTTTGGCTGTTGCTAATTTCTCTATGAACTGCTGGCGGTTCGCTCGCATGTCCTTGTGCTTCAGCTGCATTACTGGGCAGTCGTGTCAAGCAGCCTAGTCACCCTGCGAAATTAAGGTTCAGCTGGGTTTGCACTTCTAGTCGCTTCCGACTTGAGATTACATTATAGGCCTCCGCTTTCTTGCGTTTAAATTGCGTTTCCATTGGCCCAAATACTAGGCCCCAACCAGCTAAGGACGGGAATAGTGTCGACAAGAATTTTTTGGTGAGTGGGGGGCTGGTTCCTGGGGGTCGATCACAAAATGGGCTACCTTAATGCTAGACAATTTTTTGAACGGTCTAGGACCATGTTGTATTGTATTGCAGAATATTTGGGTTTTGTGTTTCTTTGTCCATAGTTTTTTACAGTTTCGAGTCATTTGCCAAAATCGGCTTCCACGAAGGTTTGTTCGGTTTGTAAGGTATCAGTGGCTCTTCGGCCTATTCTCAAATTGCATTCGTAGTGCAAACCGGGTATTCGACACCCTGCCTTTTGTTTTTTTGTGTAGTAAAAGTAGATTTTATTTATTGAAACATGTAATAAGTGAATTTCCTGGAAAAGATAATTTGCTTTAGGTCAGTGCTTTCCAATCGCTCGGCAACGTCATGCGCAACCCGTTGAACTACGTGAAATCTTCAAAAACACCGGCCGTTTACAGGTTATTATGTACATTAGTTTTTAATGTTCGATTTCTAGCTGGAATCAGCCAAGTGGCAAACTGGCGATAGCCGGGTCTGCGCGGGCCGTCAGGTTATGGGATGCGCATTGTGAACGGCAGAGCTACGAGATTCTCTACGAGTACGCTCGCGAAGGCACGATGACGGCCGTGGCCAATGACATTGGGGCCTCGCAGCTTTTTGGTGTTGGTACGTTTTTCCTTTTCATTTTTTAAGTTTGGGAGTTTGGTAATTAACCTGTCTGGTTCAATAAGCTTTTCAAATTAAATTAAGGGAAATGAGATTATCGTCCTCAAATTTTATCAATTTCCAGGCTTTCGCGACGGTGCTGCCCGCGTCTACGACCAGCGTATGCAGGCGAAAGAGGCCCGCATCTTCATCACGCCCTCCGTCGGTTCGCGCGTCGTCAGCATGCAGCTTCACACGGACCCCGGCGCGCAGACCAAGCTCTGCGTCGGCCACGCCGATGGTGGCATCCAGATATTCGAGCCGAGGATGTCAAAGGTATTTGGTAGCGATTTTTTCAGCATCTTTTTTCCTAGGATCCGGTGCTTTGTCTCGGGCACGAGAAAAAGTATAGTCAACAATTCCCAATGCATGACCGGATGTCTCACTTTGCCGTCCACTCTGATGGACAGGTTTGACAATACTAAAGTGATAATTACAATGCATTTTTTTAGAAAATGGCTGCCACGGTGTTGCGTGAGAACTACGAGGTCGAGCTGTTCGACATGAGCGGAAAGGTAAGTGTCTGGTTTATTAAGCTCGACGTAAGGTAAAAGGCCGTAATGTATTTTCACACAGATTGAAACCAACAAAAATTCTGCACAAAATAGCTTAAGTTCCGAATATATTTTTTGTAAACGGAAAACACAATAGTATGATCTTTCAGGTACTCACCCGCGTGCACCAGAACGATGCTGAGAATCGCCGTATCGCTCGCCCAACCTCACTTTCCCTGCACCCAATCAGACCCCTGATCGGCCTCGGCACCGCGGATAACTGCTTCTCTGTGTATGGTGTCGGCATCAGATAATTCTTACCACTCTTCTTCGCCTTGCCTAGCATCATTTGATAACGGGTTCCGGTTAACTCTACATATCCTAGGCGTACTGTGTATTTTTTGTTTTGCTTGATCCTTTTCGTTTTCCGTTTTTTTTTGTTAGCCTTTTTGAGTTGCGCGTTGCTCCATCATACATGTTTAGCGATTTCTCTCAATGTCGTCTGTCGTTGATAAATATTGGCAAATGGAATATTGGAAAGTTTTGCAGCTATAGATTTTCTGGTCAGTGTTTTTCGGTTTGTTCCGGTTTACGGTAGCCGATGCAACGGCGGATTTTGGCTGGGAAATGAAGGCACAAAACGAGTTTATCAATAGGATTTGAGGTGGAAGGCGTTTATACACTTTTAGGCTATTGTATTCCTTCTCCGCTTTACGGGATAGTCGCCGTTTCGCCCAAGAAATAGGCTCAAAATTGTGTTTCGCGTAATGTGTCGTCGCGTGGAGCCCTTCTCGCAACGGCATTCTTCGTGCAGAAGGTGCAAATAGACTCCCGATTTTCCCTAAACAATTTTAGTTTCTCTTGAAAGAATCTGTCGTTTTCGCTTACCAAAATGACCTCAAGCGCCAGCGCTAACAGCGCGCTCCCCAGAAAGTAGGCCGTGAGCCGAAAAAGCGGCAGCAAATACACCACGCGCAGCTGGAAGAATTGGTTGTAGGAATCGAGGCGTCGATATGGGGTGTATGGGCGGCCATAGCTAGAATTTCGTGATACACTTTAAACGCGTTTAGAACTTCGATCAAAATTTAGTTCTAGTTAGCTATTTCGGAAAAGCTGAACCCACCGCCCGGCAAAGTTCTCATAAGAGCCCAACATCCGCTCAAAAGCCTTGTTGAGCTTCTCCATAACCTTTGTTAGGTTTCTAGGAAGTATATGTAGAAAATATGGGTAGTAAACTTATTAACGGCGTAGCCTAGGATTGCCGGCTGCAAAAATGTGTCCCGGATAAACAACAATCGCGCGCCGCGGTCGATCACAACCACATCATCTTGGATCAAATGGCTATGCATCGCGGCGAATAGGACGGTTTTTGGGGGCAGCTTCTAGGGTTGGATTTCATTGGCGAAAATGGACTTACATCGGAAAAATCGCTGTCTCGGGGGATGTGTAGGGCACTGAAAAACAGTCTTTACGGTTTCGGGTTTTACGAACTTTTTTCGAATTTAATTTTTTCACGAACTTTTTCATATGCTGTTGAATTCGCGGGCATTGGTCCGACTCATCCCTGCAGTAATCCATCGGATTCCAGCCCGTTTCATCTTGTAGCACCAGGCGCCACCCTTTATTTTCGATAGCCTCTAGGACACCCTCCAAATCCTGGAACTCGTAGCTAAAACAATGTTTTTTTAGAATTTTTAAGCTTTTTCGGCACTGGACTGTTAGCGGGGGACAATTTTTTTTTCCGAGTAATCCCTTACGGCCCGATAAGGAACTAGATATAAACAATTTTGATAGCTTTGCTTTCCCTGCTAACCGTCCACTACCTTTTCCCGTTAATCTTTAAAGACAGCTTACCCTCGTTTAGACGATAACGTCAGCGTACTCTTCATGGCGCTCTCAAAAGATTGCGTAAAAAAGAAGCAAAACCAAATCCAGAAGATCATAAATATCGCGTTCGGAAGGGTGTAGCGTCTATAATAGACTTTAGCTTGATATTAGGTGCCAGTTTACCTTCTCAATTGCGTATCTTGCTTTAGTATCGTGCGGATCGCGTGGAAAATCCAGGTTACGTAGTCGCGCTTTCCGCCCGACAGGACCCACATGGCGAACGGGCTATAGGAGGGTAGTTTTGGAACGTTTAGACCAAAAAACCTGGCAATGAGGGCGAAGATCAGGAATAGATAGACTTCCGGGCATATTGAATTGACGATGAAGTCTCGGATCGGAAAAAGTTCGAGTTTTGGGGCGAAATTTTTTTAGTTTCGAAAAGATAGCTTGAACGTACGGTGCACATTTTCTAACTAACTTATTTCGGGTTGAAACCTGTTTTTGTAATCTTTTTAGGATCATTGGGAACACCTGAAATTCCTCTACTTCCTTGGCGACGTAGCCGTACAATACGTAGTTGACCGGGACCGTGAAGTCGACCTATGTAGTGCATTTTAGGGCTAATCAAAGTTACAGTGGCTAGTCGCTCGGCGCTCTGCACAATGGCGTGAACCGTCAAATCAGCAGAGCCATTTGCGACCGCAGCCAGAGCTTGTGGCGGAGGATAATCAAATGGGATAACCTAGTTTTGAGTTGTTTCCAATTTTCTAGTCGCCCTCACCTCCGCTTCAAGTCCAGCCATTCCTAAAGCCATATTCAGAAAGTCGACGTCGATGCCCGGCTTGAAGCAGTTCATATTCCAACAACTAATACGTTTAGTTTAGAAGTATTTCAAAGTCTTGCCACCTTTTTCTGAATAGAACAATCGTGCTGTCCTGCATGTAGCCGACGGCTTTCAGCTTCATTTTGAGGGTTGTTAAATATCGTCAGCGGTAAATTTTAGTTGTTTTTACGGTCGATTTTCAGGTCAGAATCTGGAAAAGAATAAGTTATGCTAGATTTGAGTGCGGGGCAAGATTGGAGCTAGCTCGCCACCCGGATTTGGAGCGCCGCGTAACCCGAGATTTCTGTTTGGTAAATATCGTGGTGCTGAACCTGTTAATTATTCAGCACCGTCCACCCTCAACATGGGCACGGGATTTAGAATTCTGGACTTTTGAGATTGTTGTTTGCCACTCTCTCGGGAGTTTCCTAAAGGATTTCTGCTAGTTTGCCCATTTCGTGGCAGGAAAGGGGGTTTTTTTCCCCCTTTTTTTTTTTTTTTTCGCATAGGAAAATTCTTTTTCATGGCATTCCTGGTATTATCTACCAGGTTTCCCCCAAGGTTTCGTGCAAGTTTGCCCGATTCTTTACAGAAAAATGCTGCTATTTTCGTCGGTTTTATCGGAATTTGATCGTAGCACGATTTTAAGTTTTTTTTTGGCCCTTTTGACTTATTTTCCTTTTTCCCGAAGGGCTTCTGCACGCTGGCCCGCTTCTCTGGAGTTGACCTGCTTGATGGTTCATATATTTCTTGGATTTCACGCGTAGCATTTTTTTGTGGCTTTTAATTGTCTTTGGTTTAGCTTGATGATTTTTCAGTGAAGCCAAAAACGCCTAATTTTTGGCACAATCCGCTCATAACTTGTCTCTGGGGCCAAGAATATCGATATTTCTCGTTTATGCGCTCTACAATACGGGTTCACAATCACGAGAAAAAAAGGAGTATCAGGTGTGAATTGGGGGAGTCGGAGCGAGTTTATTTGCCGTTGTGGGCAGGGGGCTGGAGGAGGGTGCGGTCGATGTCGTGTTTCCAGGCGTCGAGCGGTTCCGGGCTCTCTTGTAGGTACCTTAAAAAGGATTATAATATTCGATATTTTAGTAAAACAAGTTGGGAAACCAAACTTAGCCAAACTTTGAAAACGCACTTGTATTGGGCCCAGCTCTGGTCGTGCACGTCTTGGTTTCGCTGCGAGGTTGGCGGTTGCGTAGCTCCTAAAAATATGTTGTTTTTAAACAATTAATTTTTTAGAAAGCTACCCTGTGCCACAGCGGTCGGGTAGAGGAAATGCTCGCGTCGGCGGCAGCTGGAATTTTTTAAGAGGTTCTTTGGCATTATCGGGGAGGGGGGGGGGTGGGGTGGGGGACGTTATCGCGGGGTGGAATCAACTGTTCTTATACCTCTAGATTTATCTAGTAACGTAATAGGAAATGTTTTAATACCGCTTTGAGTAGAATGTCAATTTACTTTATGTGGAAAACCATTCTAAGAACCTCAAAAAAATTTATAGATGAAATTTTGCGAAATTTCGGCCTTCTTTGGTCGAAAAATCGATATTTTTGCATTTTTAAGCGAAATTTGGAAAGTTTAGCGTTTAGGAATAGTAAAAAACTGCTTAGAAATACTTCCTCTATTTAGCTATTGGAAACATTGAAGACAGAAAAAGCCCCCCCTTTTCTCCCCCTTAAATTGGGAAAAAACTGTTTTTTTAAAGGAGGCAACTTCGGGTTCTAAGAACGAAAAATTTCACATTCCCCGACCACCCTACTTTAAAACTTCCAAATTCCCCTACCAGAAATCCTTGAGGCACCAGAAGATGAAGAAGCTGACAAAGAGGGTGGAGGGGCACACGAGAAACGCGATCCGCTTCAGGCACATCCGATCGCAATTATCTGGCGGTTCTGAAGAAATATAGATGAAAGGTTAAAATTAAAGTCATTAAATTCAGCGTCATTCCTTACCCGAGCAAGGCTTGACCTCACTGCTGAGCTGGCCGAGGCAGTCCAGCTTCTCCCACGCCTCCATCGCCTCGGCCGACGCGTTGGCGACCTGGAAAATTTTTTTGGGTGAACGAGCAGAGATTATTGAGGAATCCACGGGGCATAAAGACATTAAAAATAACCAGAAGGGCCCTCTCAGCGCAGCTACAAGCATTTCCGTCGCAAAACTGGCGGCCCCGTTGGTGGTAGAGGCAGTGGTCGTGGATTTTCATACAGTCCAGGACGGGCCCTAACACAAGGAGTTGAAATTTAGCTTTAAAAGCAGCTAAAGGGTCTGGTAAGGCATGATTTTCGCTTTTTTTGGCTATGTTTATTTTGTGGATTTTGGATTTTGTTATTTTGCCTTTTCCGCCCCTTTAAAGTGGCTAAGAACTACGTGAATCCACCCCCCAGTCGACTGGGCATCGTTAACCACGCGACATTTCAAATTACGGGTGTAAGCGCTGGATTTTATCGCCTATTGTGACCGTCGAGACCCAGGCCACTGTATGGGTTCATTCTGGTCTTCCCAACCCCCTTAAAGCGTCGAAAATCGGATCGTATTGACCACAAAACAATGAAAAATTTACACCCAGCTGTCGTCACATTGTTCACCATCATCACGTAGCGAGTCCTGGCCCAAATATCCAGATTCAGGTTGCACGGCGGCGGCGGCGGGGGCCGTCGCTTAAATCAGGGTATGGAGGTGGAATTTCGGTATAAATCGCTAAAAAAGAAATAAATTTGCGTAAAAACTCACAAAATCTTTGAGGTCTTCCGCATCCATCGCCGAGGCCGGACAGCAGGCCTAAAATTTACATAAAGGATAGAAGCTGTAGTACTCTTTCAGAGATTCATGCATTAATAGACAACGATTAACAAGGCGATTACCCCCCCCCCCCCCCCCAAACCCAAAAAAAACCCCCCCGCCGGGGCCCGGGCCCCCCCCCCCCCCCCCCCCCCCCCCCCCCCCCCCCCCCCACACCAAAGCCACCACCCCACCAAAAAAACCAGGAACGAAAAAAAAAAAAAAAAAAACCCACCCCCCCCCCCCCCCCCCCCCCCCCCCCAACACAACCAACCCCCCCTTCCTCCCCCCAAAAAAAAAAAAATAATACCCCCCAAAAAAAAATGGGAAACCTTTAAACCCCGAAAGTGCTACCAAAATCAAAAACAGCAGCGGAAAATGGGCGGTTTTCATGGGGAGACGTAGAAATGGTCCGAAATTCCGAAAATGATCATAGCTGATGTTTAATGCTATATGCAAATCTACTCTGTATATGCTAATTTTGACCGGCATTGGCCAGAAACGTACACATTTACAACGTTTTGAAAAATGTGGAAGCGTAATTTCCGAGCAATAAAAACGCTCAAAACACTGAAAATGTGTAATTTGGAGTGTCGCGTAGCTGTCGATAGCCAGTCAAAGCTAAGGGTCGATTTTCCTATTTCCCAACCCCCCCTTTAGTGTCGTAATCTTCATCAAAATCTTTATTCCAAGCACACAAAATAAAGCCAAAAAATTGTGAATGTATATGACAGCTCTTTTTTCGTATTCAGGCATAGGCCCCACGACGGAGGGACCGCTGGACACCGAGCTTCTTGTGGATGGGTAGGTCGACAATGATTTCTTTCGCCTTGAACATCTCCAGCGAGCGTGCCATGGCGATGGTGGGCGGCGTCTAAATTTTTTTACTTGCTTCTGCAATGAATTAAATTTAACATTTTTAGTTTTAAGCCCTGCTTGCCTCCGGCTTGAAATTGAGCAAGAGCCGCGCCTTCTTGTCGCAAAATCCGATAACTTTCTCGAAGATGGCGCGCCACGTTTGGAAGTGAAGGCGGCCTTCTTGGGGCTGAAAAGGAGAATTTGCATTTTTTATTTTACAGGGACGATGAAGTCAGGCAGATAGACGTTTCGGCCAGAATTCAAATATCCGTCAGTTTTAAAGGAATTGACAAGGCAATGTTGTAGCTTCTGGTTAGAATTTTTTATGGTTTTCGCCAAGCCCGTAATACGCAACGGGCATGCCCATCGCCTTCGTGAAGAGTTCATAACCCATTCTGCAACGAAATTCCGAGCCGTAAGGCCTAGCCAAGTCTATCTTGCCTTTCCGGTCCTTTTAAACCCAAATTTAAGATCCTATTTGGTCCCACTGCTGGCTTAGGCCAATCCCTGGTCGCTACAGCCTTTTCCCTAAGTGCCCTGAACCCTATGGTTTTGGCAAACTCGGGAGGGGACCGGAAGAGACAGGGGAGGGATGATCGGGAGTCACCAGGTGGAGGGCAAGGTCGTTCACAAAAACGGCATTTGCAATTTCGAGGAGCGGGAGAGGGGAGCGTTGTTGAACTCCAGGCCATTCATTCTCGGAATCGGCACTTGTTTTGGCCGATTCCAATTTGGCTGCGCTCTAGTTGCGAGCTGGAAGATTGCAAGGAGGGTCAGAAGAAAATCGGAAAGGCAGCCCAAAGCTAGGCCTAAATCTATGTCTAAGCCTAAGCCTAGCTGACTGCATCCAGCCAACGGCAAGGGCCCGTTTTAGCACGACTGGCGGCCTCACGAACAAAATGTAAACCCACCATCCCGCAAGCCCTCGATAAATGAGGATAGAGCGTTCTGAAAAATGCCGTCCAGAACGGCGTCTCCTGGCTGAGGTGCTCGCCACCAGTTCGCTCCTTGAGGAACTGTAAAGAGGACATTGCGGAATCAAAGCCAAAAATCTACTTACATCAATAAATGAAGCGACATAGGTGTTATCGGTAAGGTAGACGAGCTCATTTGAATATTTCTGGGGGTCGGCCTTCAGAAAGAAGACGCAGTCCTCGATCGTTTTTGCCAGGTTTCCGGCGTACATCTGAAAGCGGAGATAACGTAGATGGGAGCGATTTTGCTGCCGCTATCCCTTTAGACATTATACAAAGGCTTAAAGGGGCTCTCAAGCGCAAAATCGACGTTTTTCCTGTATGTCTAAAGGGCGTTTTTTGCCTTGGGCGTGTAACTGTCGGAACCGAATTTTTCGGCGGTTTTCGCAGAAACTTACAAACTGATGAAGGCCACGTCTAGGTCCAGGAGTATACGGTAGCTGATCAGAATCCACCAAGCTTTTCAAACCCTTCCAGAATGAAGACGGAATCTCGGAGTAGACCCAAGTGGGGCGCAGGAAAATTG